TTTAAACACACTGCTTTTATAAATATATCCAACAGGCACTGATTAGGTAGCTCCCCTACCCCACCATGGCTGGTGTGGCAGGGTCTTATCCAGCCATATTGTTCTTCATCTGGACTGATGAACCTGACTCATAAAAAGAAAAAGAAAACAACTCCATACTTAGGAAACTTTGGGAACATAAGGAGAGGGAACACGCTTTTTGTCTGTTTTTTTGACTTTGCTGAAATTTCACGATTTTTTTCCCCCCTTCTTTCTGGCTTCAAAAAATTTAATCTACCAAACAGTAGGTGATGCCAACAAAATCACTTCCAGAGCTGAAAAAAACAATTTTATTTTATTTTTTTACACTCTGTGATTAGAGGTAGGAGAGCCAAGAGTTCCGGAGCCACATCACAGGTTCCTGAACAGAGACACAATCTTAGGGAAGTAAACACTCTGCTCTCCCCCTGGGTTTTCAGCTGTCACTCATCCACTTTCATTACAGGTGGCACCGTGTGCGCACAGCCCACAGAGATTAGTTTGGGCAATCACCTGCAGACGAGCATTGGTGGACCATCCCTGGGAGGTGGCCATTGGACCTTTCTCCCAGAGAGAGTCGGTCACTGCTTTCTTGATGGAGTTAGCTCTGCCAATGTGAGGGGAATTATTCCAAAATGAGTCCTGTGGGTATTTATTTCCCAAACAGCCTTGGCTGCCCAGGGTACATGGGGGTGTAGCTGTCTGTTTTTGGGTCAGAAGGACCCTACTTTTGAGATTCTGCCTATTCTGGGTTCATGGAGACTCTTGTAGTGGTGTGGAATGTCTATCTCTCTTCTGTCTGGCATAACTCTGTCTACAGAGGTTTGGGGCTAGAGAAAACAACCCCTGTGCCACCCACTTAGTCATTCAATGTATGGAGAATCACAGATGTGTAGGCCTGCCTGACCTGACATCTCCCAATATTGTTCTGCAAAGCCCTGTGGATATTTGGTAAAATTTTCTTTTTTGTTTTCGTAATTTTTTCTTGTAACTTTAGGAGAGACTTCTACTAATGACAATAATAGTTATTATTATCATTAATAAACACATTGGTAAATATAGAAATTATTATTGTCTTTGAATAGATTCTTTATTTGGAATTATTTTAGATTTACAGAAAGCTTGCAAACTTATCACCGGTGTCCTTATTCTCTTTGATATGGTGACCTTCATGTGACATCGGCAATGACCGAAATGCACAGGTTTAAGTCCAGCCTCCTCATGTGTGCTACCAGGCTTGCTGGATGATGCCACCCTCTGGTTCTTGCTCCAAGCTGGGGTTGGTGGTATCTTTTACTACACAACTCTTTTAAAAAGGTGTAATGCTTAGGGCTGGGGAGAAATGCCTCATTGGATAAAGTGATTGACATCTGAGTGCAAAGGACTGAGTTTAGATCAGCAGCACTCATGCAAAATGGCAGGCAAGGTCTCCCTATAATCCCAGGGAGACAGACAGATTCCTGGAACTTGTTGGTCAGTTAGCTTAGATGCCTCAGTGATCTCCAGGTTCAGTGAGAGACTCTGTCTCAAAAAACAAGATGAGGAGCTACTGAAGAAGATACACAATGTCAACTTTTGTCATCTACATATGCAAATGTGTTACTATCTGCATATGCAAATGTGTGTATTCCTACCCAAAGGAACACACACATGCACACACACACCACGATAATTATGGAGTACTCTTATATATATTATAAAAATACAGTATTTTAAAGTACAGCTTGGCAGATAGGAAATGATAAAAGCAAGTCAGCATGACTGCAGGTGGCGCGCATACAAATGATACGCCACAGAGCACACGTGAGCACTGTGGGCAATGGGACACTTATTTCTGTCACAGACCCGCAGGGAGGCTGATTTGCTTCAGTGTCAGTCTGAGTTCTAGGAGCTGTGTCCTTGCTGGGGTGGAATGGGGCTAGCAGCACAGCATCCCTTCAGTGGGACACTAGGACTTGGACCCTGGCCGAGGGAGCTATGGAAGGAAAGGATGGAAAGGAGAAATCTCATGAGGAGTAATGTTTCCATTTCTACTGTTCAGCTGACCCTTGACCCCCGTTATCACAGGTAATAAAAAACTGCCTGGATTCGTCACGCTTTGAATAAAAACATCATTTAAGTGGCCAGAGGACATGAAGACAGATAATTGCATGCAGTGCAGGTCCAATTACACTTCTCCATATGCCCTTTCCTGTGTACCAGGAGAACAACAGCCCTCAGCAGGTTCTCACACATCTGTAGAGTGCTCCTCCATAAAGAGAGGCCAAAGGCACAGCCTGGTTTCTCACACACAGCAACAGTGATTAGCACCTGCCTTTGACACTGGAAGAAACCCTACAGAAGCTGTCAGGGTGACCAGGCCTCCAAAGCCTCCAGCTCCACAGGAAAAAATAAAACCCTGTTCTATGTGTTTGCAAGGCAGGGAGTTGTTAGCCCCACAGCAACTCCTAACATGGGTGTGGCAGCTCATGCCTTTGTTTCCTGACCACGTTTTTTGGAGCTTTTGAGTCGTCCCACTCTATGGAGTTTCCACCTGGCATTTACGTTTTAAATGTCTCTAAGTCATTTCAGGAAAAGGAGATCCTTGATCCAGCATCCTTCAGTGGATGTCGGCTGAGAGTTAACTTTGTTCTTGGAAAGGGGTGCTGTCCAGAGACCCCAGAGCTAAGTGTGCAGCCATTTGTGTGTGATGGATGTTCAAATCTATGATGGCACATGTGGTTGACAAACTAGAGAAGGGCTGGAGACGTAGTCACCCAGTCATCTACTCAGTGTCCGTAAGAGAATGAATGTCTGTTTCTCACAACAAGATGTGGAATGTTGACTCTTCTTAAATTGTGTCTTGCGGTATAAGCGTCTGTATTGAAACAAGCGAGAGTATTCCTCGACTCCATTCATTTGTTCAACACACACTTTGAAGGTCCTTCAAAGAATGGGAGAGGCAGTCAGTAGGAGGGGGAGCGACTGGGCCTGGCTCCTAAATGGAGTCTTAAGGTCGGCACGGATTTGACTTACGGAGACACGAGAAGCCTTGCACATTGCTCTTGCTCTGTTTGTGAGTCTTTCTTGAAGCCCATAATCAGCATGTGTCCATGTGGGATCTGTGAAGCCTTGCAATTGAACCCGACCTCCACTGGCAGGGGAGCTTGTCGCTGTTCCTGACATAGCTGCCTACAGGGATAAAGATGCCAATGCCACTGTGTAAGAACAGCCTGGCCCTCGAGTGCTCTTTTCAGCTGTGAATCTTGAACTGGGGTTTCTGGTGTCCTCTCATAGTTTGTGGCTAGTTCATTGGGCTTCATTAAACAGTTCTTCCTTTAAAGACAGTCCGTACAAATTGCAATGTTCCCAGAGAGCCTTGATCTTAGTATAGAGCCATTTACCTTTCTTGTTTGTTTCCTCGTGTGTGTGTGTGTGTGTGTGTGTGTGTGTGTGTGTGTGTGTAAGGCCTTAGGAAGTGAGCTAACTCTGACAGTTTATTTTTGTTTTCCTTCAATGACTATGCCCTCGAAGCTTCTTTGGTGCCTGTTGCATGCTGCGGACAGGCTCGCTCGTAGTGCTCAGAAGAATGACTTAATGTTCTGACAGAGCTCACAGCCTGGAAACTCACCCTTTAACTTTTATTGCTTTGTATATTAGGATTTTTTTTACATAAAGTCTCATGTGTTTCTAGTTGACTTCAAACTCTCTATGTAGCTGAGGATGGTCTTACTCCTGCCTCCTGAGTGCAGGGACTACAGATACACAGTACTACATACACGGACTCTGAACACATGTGCACCATGCATACTTGATCGATCTCTCTCTCTCTTTCTCTCTCTCTCTCCCTCCCTCCCTCCCTCCCTCCCTCCCTCCCTCCCTCCCTCTCTCCCTCCCTCTCTCTCTCTCTCTCTCTCTCTCTCTCTCTCTCTCTCTCTCTCTCTCTCTCTCTCTGTCATTATAGCAAGAAGTACCAAGAAGTCAAAGGGAATGCTGGTATAAAAGCCAGGAGCTGGGCTGCAGAGGAGACTATTAAATGCTACTGTGAGACACACTGCATCAGGCCATTTGCATGGACCAGGGACACTGTATCTGGCCCTGCAGCTTATCCTTCCTATCCCACCTTCACATTCCCGAGGCCTCGTGCCTGTGGTGGCTTGCATGGCTCATGCAAGAAGCCATGGGAACTTGTTCAGTCTGATTCTTCTAAAGTCCAGAGGAAACAAGCCCTTCCCCTGATGTAACTGAAAACAAGACCGAGGCTTGCAACCACCTGGAAATCACTGATGTCAAAACGGAGCAAAGTAATGACTCTGCTGAGTTTCAAAGTCACAATCAGCTGGAGAGTCCCTAGCCAGGGCTTCTGGCCTGCTGTGTCTCAGGACTTTTTCTTATTGCTAGTCAGATGGCATCGCCAGAGAAACCCTGATATTGGGAGGCCAGTGAAGTACGTATCCCTTCATTACTGCCCTCAGTCCTGCCAGGGTCAGAGAACAGTGGAGACTGGGATAGAAAAAGAAGCTCCTCTTGAGGGAGAATATTTTGGTGTGATATTCTAAGATAGACATCATACCTCCACAGACCTGTGGATGTATCTCTCAGAACTGGCCTAGACTACCTGGCTTTCGAGCCTAGCTTCACTGGCTGTGGACCTACAGACATAACAAATTCACATTTTAACTGAAAATGGTACCCCGGTGAAAAGAGATGTTCCCTGCTCCCCTGACATGGCCATCTACAATGGAAATACTCACGCTATGCCTTCCAGATGCTCATGTCAGCCTATGTCCAGGAGAACCAATGCCCTCGCTCTCACACAGCCTCCTCTCTAGAGCAGAACGTTGCATGCAGACTTTCTGGGCCTCTTGGGTTTCCAGATCAACAGTCATGGTCTCCGAAGGCTTTTTCAGTTTTTGCTTCTCCTGGCTTCCTGTTTTCTGAGTGTTGCTACCGTCGCATTGAGTAATGCGTAGAATTTAATTTACTTCCCTTTTCTGGGCCAGACCGAGCTTCATCTCCACTGCAGTGTCCTCCAGGTTTCTCAAGATGCTTTGTTTTGTTTTCTTCAGTGAAACACGGAGTTGACCCAAATGCCAGCCTCGGGGACACCGTCTTGTCTCTTTCCTGAGGTGTGTGGGGCATGTGTGGGGCATCTCTCTGTGCTGAGAGTCCACTTTCGGGCAGACACTGATAGAGAATGATAAGTTAACTTTCTGGCAGAGTAGGAGAGAGAGTCGGGGGGAGGGAGAAGGGGAGAGGGAGAGAGAATGAGAGAGGAGAGAGAGCAAAAGAAAGAGAATGAGAGGGAGAGGGAGAGAAAAGGAGAGAGAATTAGAAAGGGAAGGGAGGGAGGAAGGGAAGAAGGGAGGGAGGGAGGGAGGGAGAAGAGAGAGAGAGAGAGAGAGAGAGAGGGGGAGAGGGAGAGGGAGAGAGAGAGAGAGAGAGAGAGAGAGAGAGAGAGAGAGAGAGAGAGAGAGAAGCCCTTCTAGGCTCCTCTCACCTCCCTGGACCTGTGGCTCTGTCTCTCAGGACTAGTGTGGGCTACTGGGCTTTAGAACAGAGCTTTACAGTCTGAGAACCTACTACCCTTCATAAAGGTATGTGAATCTTGCAGGACTCAACATAAAGAGTCTTCTAGACTTTTTTTTTTTTTAAGCAAGTGAATCTTTTGCCTCTAGTGTGTTTATCTCTGTGGCTGTACCTGTCAAAAATGTTTACTGCAGCTCATAATGGTTGTCAGAGACCAAGCCTACAGTCTGTGTTCTCCTCAACAGAGAAAGACAAATAAGGGGACTGGAGAGATGTCTCAGTAGTTAAGAGCACTTGTTGCTCCTGAAGAAGACCTATTTTGGGTTCCCAGGACCCATAGGGAAGGGAACAACCATCCTTAACTCCAGTTCCAAGTGGCCCAATGTCCTCTGCTATCCTCCTTGAACAACAGGCACACACACACATGGTACACACACACGGTACACACACATACAGTTAAATACTCATATACACAAAATAAAATGACCCACATTTCTGAAGATTAATAAGGAAATACATTGCTTTGCTTTATAAACCAATCTTCACCAAAAGTACCCTAATTAAGTCAGAGGTGTGAATTGATTAGAAACATATATCAGCCCAAGAGTTTTGAAAATAGACCCCTCCACACACACCCCATATCTCCATTTCTATCCCTAAGCATCCATTTATCTGGTAGTAAAAACATTTGCAGCCATTCAGGTCAGGATCAGTCACCCAGAAAAATTATTTTCCAGTGGGAAAGTTAGAGGAATCTCAGGTAAGTCTGGGAGGCAGGGCTGAGGGTAACGCACCTCTTCTCTCCTTAGAGAAAGTACAGAGTTTAAGGCTGAGATGCTATCTGCTGACCCAGCAAGGGACGGGACACACCTGAGAGGTGTCCTGAGCTCAGCAGACAAAGGGAATGTCTGGGCTGGTGGCCCCTAGCAAACCCTTCCCATCATCCCACTGAAAGCGAGTGTTTGGGATCACAGGCATGTGTAAATCACGTGGGCATTGAGTTTTGGGGTCACAGGTGTTTGTAAATCACGTGGGCATTGAGTTTTGGGGGCATCTGCAAGGAGACTCCAAGGCCGGGATGTGAATCGTGGCTTTCTATGATGGCTGCTGAGCAGCCAGGGGACAGATGGCTACAAAAGAGGAGCTCCCTGCTTGCAGAGTTACCCAAAAGGACAGAGAGACTGAGAGACTGCTGCACAGCTGCCTGGGGAAGTGAGCTCACGGTGAGGGTCAGGGGTCACCAGCCAGAGACACCCTTTCCCTGGCAGAGGCCACAAACATTGTCTACACAGAGCCAGGCCTGGAAAAGGAAGGTGGGAAGGGCTTGGCTTGATGTGGGACAAGCCAGGGGGGAGCAAGCCTGGGCTACCAGTCACAGCTGCTGTCTCACCTAACACTTTGAACAAAGGCCAGAGAGTCTATTGTGAGACATGGCAAAACCCTCAGAGAGAAGGAGTCTCCGGGTTTGTAGATAGCCAAAATGCAAGAATACAGCTTGTCTCTGGGATCCTAGGCCTGCATCACTCCAGTGCATAGACATCACAGGATGGTCTCAGGGTACAAGAAACGTACATTTCTCACCGAGTCTACAGTGCAGTTTAGGCAACAGCTGGCTACACTTGTCAGGGCCTTGGGAGTCTCCTTCAAGTCAGCTGAAGTCTGTGATGGTTCCCAGGTCATATCCATGCTGAAGCATTTCCAAGGGTGGCAGTGCTATGAATTTCATTTCAATAGAATTATAAAAACTGAAAGCAGGACATAATATACGCCAGTCATTCTGACATGGCAGCTTGAGGCAGGAGCATCACTGGAGTTTCAGGCCAGCATTATGGAAAATGACCCATCAGGGTTCATTAGTGGAACTTGTGGCTTGGGGCACAGAGTCAATACTCTGTGGATATTGCGCTGAACAGAGCAGTCCTTTTGATCTGTTTATTCATTTGTTTTTATTTTAATCATTTAGCCTTTTATGGAAACAATGGTAGATCTGTAAGAATCAAACAGACTTCCTGGTTGTGTTTCATCTGCTTTCTGCAACTGGCAATGGTACAGGACTCTCCTACCAGTGTCAAGGACCTGCTAGTGGCCAGCTAATTCCAGCCTACGGTCCCATGCCCTGCCTTCCTCCAAAGTGTGGGTAACCATGGCTCCGTTCTCTTGCCTTAGAGTTTGTCACATCAGGAATGTTTTATCCTAGGATGGTGGGAGAGCCCAGCAGGTAAAGGCACTTGCTGCCAGGTTTGATAACCTGAGTTTGATACTTAGAACCCTCATGGCAGAAGGAGGCTTCCCTCTGGCTTCCACATTTGTGATGTTGTATTCTCCCACCTACAAACCACACACCCGCACACCTGCACATATGCACACAAGCTAAAGAGAACAAACAAATAAATGAATGGATTTAACTCCAATTCTACTTCATAAAGTTTTAAGAAGAATATTTTATATATTAGAAATCATATCATGTGTAGCTCTTGGGGTCTGGCTTTGCTCGCTCAGCCTAAGTCTCTAGAGATCCATTCAATTTCTTATTTTCTTTTCTTATTTTTTTATTTCTATCTTTAAAGTTTTGGTGTATGTGTTCCTGTGTGTGCAGGCACGTGTGAGTGTGTTGGGAGGAGTATCATGCACATACATTTGTGTGTGCATGTGTGTGGAGGCCAGAGGTTAAGCTGTTGTCCTTTAGGTATCAGCAGCCTTACATTCTGAGATGGAGTTTCTCACTAGTTTAGAACTTGCTAAGTAGATAAGGCTTGTTGGCCAGTGAGCCCCATCAGTTCTCTTGGTTCTGCCTGTCTGGTGATGGGCTTGCAAGTGTGTATCACCACGTCCATCCTTCTTCAGGTGGGTTCTGGGATTGAACTCGGGTCCTCACACTGCATGGTAGGTACCTAGCCCACGGAGATCTCCCCCAGCCTCTCTAGTTTGTGTCTTTTTATTGCTGAGTAAGATTCTATGGTACAGATACTTACAGTTGGCTTAAACTTGCACCCGTTGAAGCTCAACAGGCCGCTGCTGGTTGGGGCTATGAGGTGTGAAGCTGGTGTGAACGTGGACAGCGCAGACGTGCATGAGAGCATGCTTTCATCTCTTTGGGAAGTACCAGAGCTGTACGGGTAGCCTGCTGCATGCTCGTAACAGCCACGTGATCTTCTAGAACACTCACAGAGTTGTGTGCCATGGGCAGGTCCTTGTCGGCCCATCGCTTAGACGTTCTGCTCATTTTCTACCCGTGTTATCGTTGGATTTCTCCACTGTTAAGTTTCTATGGCTCTTTATAAATTCTAGATATGAGTCCTTTGGCAGCCATGTTGACTGCAAATGCCCTCCCCTCCCATTTATGGCTGTGGTTTTCGCCTCATTCTATAAACAGGTGCTTTTCACAGAGCAAAGAATTCTCATTTTAGTGGGGTCTAACCTAGCAAAGGTCTAACCTTGTCTCATGGTCCCTGCCATTGACACTGCTCCTTAGATCCCCTGTCTTCCCCTTGTTCTTTTCCCCAGCACATCATGGTCTCACCGTTTGTAGTCGGGCTTGCTTTGTGTTTTGAGCTCCTGTTTGTGTAGCTAAGGGTAACCCCAGTTTAGGATCCCCCTTTTAGCTTTTATGCCCCAGGACCCCCAAAAGAGTTGATTCCTCAGAGCCATGTGTGACGATGCTAGGCTTTCTCCAGTGAACTGTCTTGAACATTTGTCAAAAATCAACTGAGGACACCTTTAATCCTGCACCGAGGAGAAAGAACAGGTGTGTCTCTGATTTTGAAGCCAGCCTGGTAAACACACCAAGACCTTGTCTCAGTTGGGTGCTTTTGTGCAGTTCTGCTTCTACTGTTTGCCATGGTGAGATGTCATTGACCCGCATGTCTAGCCTCCAGATAGCACGGCCTTGGTTACCATGGCTCTATAATGAGGTTTTAAACCTTGTGAATCGGGTTTTTCCTCTTTTATTGTCCTCTTTTATTTTTGATCTTAAGAAATTCTTGCTGGGATTTTAATAATACATGATCCACATTTCTATATCAATTAGGGAGATAATTAACATTTTTTCTAGGTTGAATCTTCTAACCCAGGGATTCAATAAGTCTTTTTATTATTTATATTTTGTTTGAGTAATTTTGTCAGTGTAAGATGCAATCTTGTGAGCCCTTGGAATGCTGGGTTATTGTTTCACATAGCAGTTTTGAGTACACATGACATTGTAATTTGAATCATGATGGAATCACAAGTAGCGTGGAAATACAATTGATTTTTGTGTGTTGATCTTGTAACTACAGAACTTATTATATAAAACTCTCAATCCATGTGTCTTTCACTGCCTGGATTTTACATGACTTTTTTTCCATTTTACAGCTCTGTTGGGTCAGAGCAATGGACAGCTTTCCTTCCCTCAGTTTTCCCTCTTACTGGCTAATATTCACTTTGTAGTGCTGAGACCAGTACTTGTCACACCGAGTAGACAGTATTTTCTCCATGATGGCTGCTGGGTTGCCTAAAGCCGCTTCTGAGGTGACTGACGTAGCCATGTGCTTCCCTTCTCTACTCTGCTAATATGGCAGAGCACACACATGGTCATGGTGTGTGATTCTTCTTATATATTAGT